AAGATTCTGTGACCTACCTCAGGATCAGCGGTGAATGCTTTGAACAAGCGGACCAGAAGGATCGGGCTGCTGAAATGTTTTTCCAGGCGAAGGAGTACACCCATGCTGCAGAGCTATATAGAGACATCGGCAAATTTGACGAGGCGATCGAAATTGTGAAAGCTCATGAAGGCGAAATGTCGTTGAAGGTCGTCGGAAATGTCATTGAGCTTGCGAGATTAGCATACTTCTCTAACCATCAGATGATGTACGTCTTTTCCCGAGGCATGTTGACCAATTATTCTCACCTTCCGAAACAGAAAAGCTCGTGAACTATTTGAGTCAGTCGAAGAAGAAGTGAAGTATCTGGAAGAGAGGGACTTCGACGTCGCTCTTGCAGACTTGTTGGACAAAGAAGGACGACTCAGCGAAGCTGCTGAATTGCACTATTCCAAGGGTCGCAAGGAACAGGCTATCGAGCTTTTTCTCTCTCAAACTCAAAACAGACATGCTTTGCGTCGAGCTCAAGAATGCATTCTTGAAGAGCTTTGGCATAGGATATCTTTCGGCGTTGACCCTAATGTCATACGATCAGATCCCATTGTCTTGCAGCTGATGGACTTTGCTTCGCAGCTTGATGCGACTTCCATGGAACAGCGGACTACTAAATCTGCTCAAGTAAGTGTCGACCTCACTCTCACTTCTTACTCGTCACAGCCTATACTGATGCATATTCAGCTGTCGATGTTCACCGCCATCGTAGATTCTGATGATCAGACATCCCAGCTGGGTGAACTGGGTTTGATATTCCACAAAACGGGTCACAGTTCAGCAGCCTTACTATGCCTAGATCAATACTTTTCTCGGGCTCTTCGAATTCAGGACATGGCTCTTGTTGACGCAATCAAAGAACTCAGTCTGTTTTATACCTATGCGAACCTTCTTTCCACTGCAGTATTCCGAACGGACCCTTGTGGAGATGCAACAACTGCGGCATTGTTCGGTTTTCGGCGAGTCGCAGAAAACGAGTTCCTGGTACCCCAGAACACATGGTTATACTCAGAGGTTCTTAAACTTCAACCTAGGAACCTGCCTAAGGATTCCGACTCCAATCTCAGGCTGTCAGCACTCGAACTACGTGGGTTATTTCAACATATCCTGAAAGGTCATCTCCGACAAAAGGTTATTGTCGAAAATGATGGATGTGCAAGAACCAAAGCATTCGTGCCTTGCCTCGTTTTCGCTGTATCTGGGTTTTGCACACGGCCGGAATGCCCGGAAGCTCATGTACCATCTTCCGCGATAGATACCGATTACTATAATATGCGTGTCCGCCTGCACCTGCAACAAATCCTGATCTTGCAGTCGCTTAAGGAGAATGCTCATGCAGACGTGGAACACAGAGGAATCAAGTACGTTATCATTCTTGTTCACTAGTTTTGCGGTGTTCATTTCTGTATAGATTTTGGATCAACCGTCTTTACGAGGCTCTTCATCCTCCTCATCATATGTTTGGTTCCATTTCCCATCTCGCACTTTCTACCATTCCCGAGGCCCCAAAGGCATTGAATGTTGTGAAATATTGGGTGCGAGCGCTTGTTTATAGCCGGGAGTATTACCCCGGGACGACCTTCCTCACGGACGTGATGCGGACAGCTACCTTGGCTTTTACGTTTGACTGAAGTCAGGCAGGTTATCTCGGAAACGCGGCATATTCCAGAATATACCCTCCATCCATGTATATTCGTCGAAGCAACCGCCTCATTCTTCACGATCTTCTGGACTCGATGTCAGGATATCAAACATGGTCTCTTACTGCTGGTTTTCTATTTGTCGAGTAAGTCTGGGACCTGCCGATCTTTCTCTACGTTGATCTTCTTTCTAGGCACGTTGTAAAGCAGAGATTGCCCATCGACATAGGTGATCTGTGCGATTTTGTGGATTTTCTTTGCAGTTCCGTTATTCTTTGCGGCTGTCGCTCGGGGATGTCATTATCACTCAATGTAACGGTTCCTCGTAGCTGGCTCTTGCGCTTTGTTAGCTATGATTTGCCCTACTTCAATGAAGGGACAGAGACAAATTATTATCGCGCCCTTCTGGAACCTATGCGGGATCTTCTGGAACAATTGTGCGTCCGTCGGGGCTGTGGTAAGTCCCTGAAAGTCATTTCTTTCAGCGTCTCATTCTCACCATATACTAGAGCATCTCCTGCACCATGGGACTTCCAGAAATCTTTCAAATCTGCCATACGAAGTTAGTTGTGTTTTCATCACAAGAATGTAAGTCAGCTACCAAGTGGACCATCACTTCCTTTTCTGACGTCAGTCCTCTATCAGATTCAACGCTATTGGTCTATGTCAGTCTATGACTATTCTTTAGCTCCCGCCCTTACTGATTCTATTATGTAGTGGGCTGCAACATTCATGACGAATTTCTTTGTAGCGATATCCAGAAGTTAATTCTATCGTTGCGTCAAGAAGATCGCGTGTTTTCTCATCTTTATGGTCTGTGAGTGGGTTTCAGCTTGAGGAACTGCCCGCGTGATTTAAGACTTTTGCAGATACACTGATGCTGCCAGCTGTTCATGGGATGAACTTGCGGAGGTCGTTTGTCGCTCGATTGAATACGATGCCAAGGACGAAATGATACAGCTCGTTCACCAGAGTAAGACACCAGAAAAACAGCATACCTCACTACAAGTCCGTCAGCTTGTTTACAGCGACTTCACGGATATCCGAGCGCAGCTTGGTCTCACCGAGTCTACATCTACTCCGACCACCTCACCACATATCGAGGTTCCTGAGCGGAAGGAGCCTGATGGCGATGCAAGTGAAGCGAAGGAAATGGAGAATACACAAGCTGAAGCTGTCGAGGAGACTGCCGGTGAAGATATTGTGGTCGTCGATACCGTTCCGGTACACGATATGACAACCCCGGTACCAACAGAAAGAAAGATTGCTGCTGTGTGCTTGATTCAGCGCGTATGCAGGAAATTCCTCCGACATCGACGAGGTGCTGCAGAGAGAGGGACAGCTAGCTTCCACGCCCAAATATATGCCTCATGCACCAAAGAGGTATCTCGGCTTGGTGATAGCCCAGGGATATATCTTCGCTTGTTTCTGGGTCCACTGCCGCACATCTTAGTCTGTCTCAAGACAGTTCGTATCGATATCCTCAGCCAGAGGAAGAGCACGATAAATAAGCTCAAAGAGTGTGGTCATAATGAGTACGATGCACTCAATGACCTGTTAACACAGACCAAGTACGTATTTCTTACCGCTTGTACCAATGATAACTGATACGATTCTCTATTTTCAACAGCAAGGCGAACAAGGCTGCAATCAAACTACAAAAGCTTCTCAGCCCGGATTCTGTGTTCCACAAACGTCGCGACGTCAAGGAACTCCAGAAACTAGTAGAAGAGGCCAATCGTCTGGTTTTGTCTCTCCCTTTCGAAACCTCCTCAGACTTATCGGATGACTTACACCTCGCTGTCAAAGGGATCGTAACTGAACGTACATCCCCTCGCACAGGCAAAAAGCCGACGCTAAATATCGACGACTTGTATTACTGATTCTTCTTGTATTGATTCGTAGTCGATAATATAATTTCTTCTCTTGATAAAACGGTCCTCAGGAATCGTTGCTGATACAACATATAGACATAGCGTCGTCCGCCGCGACTGAGCGGGCCCGCCGCCCCAGGTTCTTATCCAAATCGTCATCAGACAATCTGTAGTCGTCTTCACACTGGGAGCATGTATGTATCCCACGTCGATCCACCGCAGGTACTCCAGAGCCCACAGACATCCACCACCAGCCGTTCTTGCGATGGACGGCGCTCGAGAGGCTGGCCATGCGAGGAGTTGGAAATAGTTGCACAGCATCAATTCAATGATGATTAGTAGAAATAAGCAACTCGATTACCTTCACCAACCATGAATGCCCTTTTAGCTGGTGTCTATGGACGCTGCAGTATGGACCCCGACACGCTTCTGTTGGGTAATAAAACATCCATCTTCAGGATCGCGATACTAAAGCAAGTATCAACGGAGTAGGTGACCAAGCACGATGGAATATGGCTGTAGAAACCTTCCTGTGAGGCGAGACGTCGGGAAAGCAATCTGCATCTTACAAAGTCCTTGGGATCATGAATCATCCAGATGCGAAAACCTAAACCGTATAATCTGCCTTGCCGCCTCTGCCCCGTACTTCTCCTTCAAATCCAGATAATCATGGTACAGCGGAGGCGTGATATGCCCTCCATTCCGCGCTGTAGCCCCGGAACACGCATCTCTCGCCTCCAACATCACAACTTCCAACGACCCATCCGCATCGAGCAGCGTACGTGCAAATGCCGTGCCAGTCATCCCAGACCCGATAATTACAACATCCGCACTTGCAGGCAGAGCCAGTGATGTCGGGGTCAGGTCAAGTACTTGACTCTGACCGGGTCTGACCCCCTGGTCAGTCAAATGGGTCAGCGCGGATGAAGATTTTAGGGGGGGGTCAAGCAGGGGTCAAAGGATCTCACGTGCTCAAATTTGGTACCTTATTTTCTCGCTGTATTTTCGTATCATTTCAATATTCTACTGCCTTGTGAGCATGGCCCACAACAAAACATGGGCCTGGGAACAGTTTTCAACTGATGGTACCAACTACAAGAATGATCAGTCACACAAAAAAGCCTGGTGTCTCGCCGAGCTTCATTTCGAGGTTGCCATACTGCGTCAGGGTGACCTCGAAGCCATGCAAGAGTTTAGAGTTTAGAAAACCGGTATGCGGTCCCAATAAGGAACACCGGGGTTCTGTGCCGCCACGAAACGTGTCACAGACCATAGCAATACCGTGCCGCTGTGATATTCCCCAGGTGCGAACTGGCGAACATCTCACAGGTTTGATACTGCCACAGGGACCGGGGGAGGAATGTAACGTTCAATGTTCTCACAGTATGCCTAACCAAAACCCATGCCCGGTAGAAATGTACTATTACAATTAGCTATGTGACCAAAGCGTCTGAGGAGGAATATACACCGGTGTAGCTCCGAATATCTCCAATACATGATACACATATTGCGCCAATCGAGGCTCCAAGATAGGCAATTGTAAGAGGCATGCCAACCGGTCGTCAACGGCAAGACGTCCCCAAGCATTGGCTAGATTAGGACATAATGCATGGGCATCGGCAAGAAACGACCGGCGAAGCTCTATCAAACCAGGAGCGATAGTACAACACAGGAGGGCATGTACCTCGTCCTCTACGGTAACCTTGCAGAAACGACATAAACGCCACTCACGCGGGATCTTGGGGCGATAACATTCTGTCCAGCGCAGGACCTCGACAGCAAGGATATGAGAGGATAAGAATAGACGTGTGAGAGCTTTGCGATGAGCAGGGATCAAGGTTGTGAGATAGGCACGGCAAGCTATGGTCTTTCGACGGGGGTGCAATCCATCGACAATCCGGTGTTTGAAGACACTATGAAAGGGGAGCTCCATGGATGAACTGGTGCGACATAAGGGGAGTGAAGAATGAGCAGGGGAATCGTTCGTTGTTCTAGGTGGTTGGGGTTGGAGGCGAGGATAGAGGAAGCTTGGTACATTCGAACAGTGAATAATGAGGACTATCGCGAGAGAGAAGCTTCCGGTATACTGATGTCACGACACGCGCCTACGGGTCAAAAAGAAAGACGCGAATCCATCCCGGCGAGTGATGGAAGGGAACGATGCATTTTTGGAGCATACTCTGGGGTCAGCCTTCAAATGCCTATACCCATGATGAGATAGTCCTCGTTCCCAATTCCAGGTAGAGAATTGAGTGACATGGCCAGGGTGATCCACACGACCCGGTAATTCATCCGCACGCCCTCTCAAGTAAGACTTCTCGAATCCGTGACGACGTATGAGCGGTGAAGAGGATAGGCGGAAGATACTTGTGTGGAGAGAACTATGATCTTGAGGGGGAAAGTGAACTATGAGAGTCCATGCATTCGATCTCGATGGCCTGGGAAGCTGAAGGGCTTGGATAGTTGTATGTTAAATCTAGCTCTGGGATGGCAAGGAGGCATGATCGAGGTGGTGGGCAGCTTGTCCTGCACGCTGCATCGTCAATATCTGTATACGCGTTTTAGTATCCGTACACACCATAGTCACAGAAAGGTCAAGGTGTCAATCAATCCATTCTCCGATTGTGTTCTATCAAACGCCTTCCTTCGTTGAGGACTCGCTCGCCATGAAGAGATTGATCCCTTCCTAAGATTAATTGCCTCTTGTGAGCTTGATCTAGGAAGGACGCGTCGAGGAGGATGTGAAGATGGCTGGAACATACAATCCACCTGTTTGGATGGGTACTACTGCATGATACATTGAACATCTCAGTAGGCATACCGACATTTTGAATTTCAGGAGGCCGACAATTGTAGACGAAGGAGACGACAGAGAATGCGAGCAGAGTCGCGGTCGTAAGAGAGAAGGATTGTTCGGATATTTCCGATGCGTATTTTATTATATATCCACGAGATGAACACAAAAATGATTATTACAACCACGACGCGTAGTTTTTTTGTACATCTACAAGATGGGTTGTTATAGCCAAGACGCGATATTTGCTTTCTTCCACTTTTTCTCTGTAACGCGAAACAGGTCAGGGAGCCAATCAACGTCTTTTCCAAGCACCATATACGCCAACGCCTTTCCGCTCATCCACGCGTGCACCATTCCCTCCCCCGAATACCCTGCCGCGATCTACTCACTCCCTCCCTTCCTGCCCGATACCTTTGAGGGAACACTACCCACCCAAGGCAATCCATCCGCAGAGATGCCCAGAATGCCCGACCACGCCTTCTTCACGCGTCCTTTCTCAAAATGTTCATCGTCGTCAACATCAGCGGACTCGCCTCCCCACCATTTCCCAAAATACGCCGCCAGTGCTCCACCAAGGTAAGCCGAGGTTCGAAAGTCAACTTGGCTGTCATCAGCACATCCAACAGCTTCAAAGAAGGACGGGATACCCGTCTCAATACCACCTCCAAACATGAACTCTGCGTGCGGTTTCTCGCCTAGTCGTGCAGGATCAGGCGGTTGCTGGGTGAGGTAGTCCCATCGATCCTCTGACGCGCCTGGGGACAGTACGAATGACCGTGTACCCAGCCACCCGTCTTCTAATCCTGTTCCTGCGCGTTGTGCGGTCATATGGCCACGTACAGAAACAATCTTTTCTCGCATCGGTGCGAGGAGATGGGACGTCCAGCCATTGGTAGCATGCACGATATGTTTGGTGCGAATATCACCGCGGGGTGTACGAACGATGTTGTTGCGGATGGAGAGACATGGAGTATGAGTGTATAACCGAAAGGATGAGTACGTCTTGAGTAGTCTTGAGAGGAATCCCGTAACGAGCCTATAAGGATGCACCGCTCCTCCCATCGTTGAGATGACCCCGCACACTCCATCTGCAAGCTGCATCCCCGCCGAGCCCTCTGCCGTACCCCAGCCACCCTTCTCACTCGGCATTTCCTCCAAATAGCGTTCCAATTTCTCCTTGGCTCCTTCAAACATGTCTTGGTCGAAGAACACATCATACGTCTCCACCTTTCGACACTGGCTCTCCTTCATCAGGCTCTCCTCCTGTGCAACGCGAATCAGTTCATCCAGATGCGAAAGCCTGAACTGGATAATCTGCCTTGCCGCCTCTGCCCCGTGATTCTCCTTCAATTCCAGATAATTATGGTACAGCGGTGGCATGATATGCCCCCCATTCCGCGCTGTAGCCCCAGAACATGCATCCCTCACTTCCAACATCACAACCTCCAATGATCCCTCCGCGTCGAGCAGCGTACGCACAAACGCCGTACCCGTTATCCCAGACCCGATAATCACAACATCCGCACTTGCTGGCAAAGCCGCTGACGAGCCTTCTTTCTGGATAGGCGATGCTGGGATTGACCAGAATGGGGTGGTGGGATTAGGCACTGGAAGCCCGGGACACTGTCTTATCTGCTTGGTGACGCGCCGGTATGAAGAGACCATCTTTCATATCGTGTCGATAGCTACTCGCAGAAGAGAGAACAATGATATCATCTTGGAGTGTATGTTAGAGAGAAGGTCGACTATATAGATGGATAACACCCACCTAAGCCTGATTTTCACTGGGAAAGTAGGTTCCCGCGCCCACATCAGGCCACAAGTACGGCTTGCCGATGATCATCGTCAGGATCAGGAGGTGCCGGTCCGTCGGATAAGCGTAAATTTTTCATTCCATATTTAGTCATCACCACCTGCTCAGCTATATCATAACCGCCCGCAATTGATTTTGTGATGTCCTTTTACTTTATACATCCTTTCATTAACTTTCCTTGCTTCATTCAAGGGTATTACACTCGTTTATTTCTTACTCTACCTATAGTGCCCAACTTCGTTGGACAGGAGGGCGTATGTAACGAGCCGGCCTTTGGCCCGGTCCTTACCCTTCATTTCTCCCCCTCGTTGTCGCTCCACACGCTCCACCATTCTCGACGCACCCGATAGGATCTATTTGATATTAGCTAGTAGTATATAAGAGCTACGTACTGCTGTAGTAGCTCGGGTTTTTCGCAACGACCAGCCTTTACACCTGTCACACACTGCGTGAAACTCCTTCGTGAGAGTACGTGACTTTCGCCACCCTCTCAGTAGGGCCTTCACGCAGCAATCTCAGCGTTTCACTGCGGAGTAGTGCGATACCAATCAGGTATAATATAGGAGTCAATGGTTACTCTTCTTCTGTTCCTGGGTGAAAGATTTTTCGGTGGGTATAGGAATGACAGAAATATCGCCCAGGAAAACAGCATTGCAAGCGGTGGTGCGTGTTCAAGACGGAAGAGATCACGTGCTAAAGTCGCGTATCCCAGCATTGTTCGAAGTTTACTATCAGATCCCTTCCACCATCACCATTTGCGTACTTTCTTTTCAAGTTCCAATCTTCCATCGCCCTGCACGCTATTCCGCAATCTGCATTCCTCTTCACAGGACCTTCCTGTCTCTGACCCTCAAGATCATACCAATGCTGTAGGCTCAACGCATCATACACTTTCAGGGCGGGTGTGTAGAGAGGTGCTTGGCCAGGATGGATAGTACGCATGCTGACCTCCTTTGAGTCAGGTCATCACCCACCAGCACTCCTCAAAGTCAGCATGAATCCTGCCATCCCGCGTGAGGCCAGCGAATCCCACGCCATATCAAAGCCGTCCAGGTATGTTCATTCCATTGGCCTCGTTTTAATTCTGTCGCTCATCGTTGACGTTAGCATATCACTTGTCCTCAAAACCAGACGTTAGCTGGTCCTTGGCAAATCATTACCAGTTTCGTTTCAAGACGTGATGTCGCCTTTCTTATTTTCTGGGCGCCGTTTTATCAAAAAAAAGTGCTATATTGCAGACTACCAATACGAGATGAATCAGTATCAGTTACAAACCAGTGGTATTGAGCTTCGGCTTCAAGTTCTTGCGTGTGTGTGCTGATGAACGTTCACTACCAGTTACGATCCCCGCGAGATGCAGATCATTGGATAAGTCCAATGATGCGTCGAAAGGAAGAGAAGAAACTAGGCAGTTGACCTCTTCTATTTGTCTCTTCAGTTCCTTGACATCGCAACGCCCGTGGAAGGTAGACTTTGGGCTGAGAAGCTTTTGTAGCTTGATCGCAGTCTGGTTCGCCTTGCTGTTGAAAATAGCGAATCGTGTCAGTTATCGCTGGTAGAAGCTGCAAGCAATACATACGTGGTCTTTGTTAACAGGTCACCGAGTGCACCATACTCATCAGATGTGCACTTTTTACTAAGTCTGCTTTTCGTCTTCGTCTTGTGCTTGTGTGTATCGATACAGACTATCTCCAAACAGACTAAAATGTGCGGCAGTGGACCCAGAAACAAGCGAAGATATAGCCCTGGTTTATCACCAAGCCGAAATACTTCTTCAGTGCATGAGGCGTATATCTGGGCACGAAGGCCTGCTGTCCCTCTCTCGGCAACACCTCGTCGACAACGGAGGACTTTCCTGTATGCTCGCTGAATCAAGGACGCGGCGGCGATCTCTCGTTCTGTAGGATCCGGGGTTGTCATATCTTGCGTCGGAATAGTGTCGACAACTTCAACACCTTCGCCGGCAGCCTCCTCGACGGCTTTAGCTTCTTGGGTATCTTCCGTTCCCTTCGCTTTACTTGCATCTCCATCGGGCTCTTTTTGCTCATGAATCTTATGTGGCGAGGTGGCCGGGGTAGATGCAGACTTGGTGAGAGCAAGCTGCGCTTGGATATCCGTGAAGTCGCGGTAAACAAGCTGACGGACTTGTAGCGAGGTAGGCTTTTTTTCTGGAGTCCTGCTCTGGTGAACGAGC